GGTGGCATAGGAAAGACTACTCTTGCTCGAGCTTTATACGAAAGAATATATCATCAATATGATTTTCATTGTTTTATTGATGATGTAAGCAAAATATATCGAGATTCAAGTTCACTAGGTCTACAAAAGCAGTTAATTTCTCAGTCTCTAAATGAGAAAAATCTAGAGATTTCAAATTCTTTTGAGGGAACATATTTGATTTGGTCTAGGCTGCGCAATGTTAGGGCACTTGTAGTTCTGGACAACGTTGATGAAGTTGAACAACTAAGGATGTTTACAGGGAAGAGAGACACTTTGTTGCGTGAATGCTTAGGTGGAGGAAGCATAATCATCGTAGTTTCTAGGGATGAACATATATTGAGGACGCATGGAGTAATGACATTTATCAAGCCAACCGTTGAATGATGAAATGACATGCAGCTGTTTGTAGGAATGCTTTCAAAGTTAATCATTTTGAGTGATTATGAAAGTGGCACGGAATGTACTATCTTATGCTAGGGATCCCTTGGCATTGAAGTAATTGGGTCTCTTTGTTTGGTCGAAATGTGTCACAATGGGAAAGTGCATTGGGCCAGGCTAAAAGAAAAGAAAAGTAAAAATATTATGGATGTTTTGCGTTAGTTTTGATCAGCTGGATGAAGACAGAAAAGACTTTTTTGGATATTGCATGTGTCCACGGCAATCAATGATGAATATGTGAAGGAAGTTCTAAACGTTTCGTGGATTTCATGCTGAATAGAGTCTACAAGTTCTGCTCGACAAATCACTAATAATCGTCGTGATGGGTTATTCATGTATGCATTCTGCTTGAGAGGACTTGGCAGAGTATATTGTCAAAGAAGAATCACCTAAGGAACCCCTAAAGAGGAGTAGTTTGTGGATTACCAAGATTTCGCAAAGCTATGTGAACAATGAGGTAAAATTAAAATTCAATTATAATTTTATGTTGCCATTTTTTTAGAGTATGAAAATCTTTCGAAAAATATAACCATTTTATTCTTTGTGTGTAGACAACTGAAATTCTTGAAGTCGTAGCTGTTACGTGCACTATGGAGTTCTAAAACTGTGAGGGTAGATGGTTTATCGAAAATTAGACACCTTAAGTATCTTAGACTTGGGAACATGAACTGTTCAGGAAGTCTCAGTCATCTTTCAAGTGAACTAGGATATCTTATTGGTACAATTATCCTTTTGAGTGTTTGCCTCAAAGTTTTCAGCCACACAAACTAGTTGAGTTAGCTATTGAGAGGAAGCAGTATTCAACGACTAGTAGTGGTGGTACAAAGGTGATGTATATTAAATTTATATTTCTAAGAAAAAATTAAAGAAAACTAAGTTCATTATAATTGGCTCTTGTTTTGCTAATCGTTGTAGGTGCTACCTAATTTGAAGCTTTGGATCTCTCTTACTCCAGAAAATTAGTTGAGATGCCAGATGTTGCAGAGGCCCTAAATCTTGAAGGGATAGTTCTTGAAGGATGCATACGAGCTCCGAAAACTCAGTCCATCGATTGGTCTTCTGAGCAAGCTTACTATTTTGAATTTGAAAAAACTGTAAAACTTAGTAAGCTTACCCAATAGCATATTGGGCCTGAATTCTCTTGAATATCTGAGGTCTATTGGTTGTTCAAATCTTTTTTGTTTAATCATGAGTTATTTGATGAGCAAGTAACACAGAGCATTGAAGAGCTTTGTTCAGTTGAAGGTCCTATTCATCCTCACTTCAATATTCCCGTTGATAAAAAAAGCACGAAGAGAGTCAGGAGTTTTTGGTACCCTGCTCTCCCACTCTCCCTTGCTTGCGTAAACTCGATCTAAGATTCTGTAACTTAGCTAAAATCCCTGATGCTATTGGAAAGTTAAGTTGCTTAGAAAAAGTTAAATTTGGAGGGAAACAATTTTGTTACATTGCCTAACCTCAAGGATCTTTTCAGATTGTATTATTTAAACTTACAGCATTGCAGCGATTGAAATACTGCCTCAACTCCCTTCAAGACTCATTGTCCTTAAATCCTTACGTGTATCGAGAAATAGTTTCAAAGCTTCTATCATGTGCCAAACGAAGATGAACGTATGGCTGGATATTAATGATTTTCAAACTGCCAGAAATAGTTGAGAGGGAACGTGGACTAGCATGAGTGTTATGGATGCTATACAAATTTCTCAGGTGTGCATGCTTCTTTTCCTTACACTTCCTTCTTTAATCTCTTTTGGGTGTTGAAAAACAACTACTAAACGCAGAACATAACTCAGTCGTGGTACAAGTCGAAAAGTGTCCTTAAATCCTTTATTATTCCTCGACATCTTGGAGTATATTCCCTGGAGAGGGACAAATACCAATGTGGTAACAATCCGTCTTTGGGCAACTTAACATTCAATAATCATAACAGTCACTGCCTTTTGTGAATTACGATAATTGGGTGGTGTGTTGCGTGTGCAATACTCAGTTACCGGAAACAGGATTCTTGCGGATTATTGAGAGGAGAATATGGACGAACCAAATTGTATGTCGGCTATTTAAATTACTCTCGTAACAGTTCTCGAAGAAATGAAAACATTTGGGGCACACGTGCCATAAAGGCAGTTCAAACTGGCTATAACTTACAGATGAGATTTAAAACAGCGAAACGACATGCACTAATTACTAAGTTTAAAGTGGAAAAATACGGGGTATCGGTGGTAAACGAAGCAAGTATCCACGCTATCAACTTTAGCAATGAATTTGGCAGCCCTCGTAGCGCCGTTGTCATAAGCAATACCTTGAGAAGACAGAAAATTGTTATTGTAAAATTCAGTTGTTTTAAAAGTAAGGTGAGAGGAAATGCTCATTGTCTTTCCTTACAAGACACACTCCATTTCATTTCTCATGTTTCATTTTTTTAGTTTGTCTTCACTTGAACTCAAGCTACTTAATGTTCTCACAAATTTTAAATGTGCTAAGTTAGTTTTAAATAAACCGCTTACTTCTACTATCGTATATATAACAGATAAATGAAAAATAGAGGAAGAAAAAGACTTACTGTTATTTTTTATGGAATCCTTGTATTTCTTTTTCTACTTTCTAGTCTTAAAATGCATTTCAGTTTTTTTTCCAGAAAGCTATTCTCTGTGTTACAATATGCAGAGGAGTTACTAATTTTAAAGATTTCAATGATCAACCGACATGCTTACCCTTATATTTAAATGACTAGATTAAAGATAGGCTGAATTGGATTTTCTAAAATACTTTTGCAAAAATTAGAATTAATTTTAATAAAACCAGTACTCTACAGAATTTGGTTTTGATTGTTGTCGTTTCGAAAATCAAATAAATATCAATCTTCTAAAGCGTTACAAAAATATACTTGTGACATAAATGGATATTTTAGGGTTAAGATAAGTCAGCTCTTCCAATAAATACAGTTAAGAAACATAAAAATAACAAAAGTGAAAATTTAAAATAATAAATGATAAACAGAACTAAAAAATATATAAAAAAATAGGTTAATTTTCAAGTTCTTCCATAATTGAATTTTTTATTGGTTATTTATATAATTATTTTCATTTATTCTATAAGTCTCACTTAACTAAATAAGTCTCCCTTAATTCATTAAAACTCTTATTCATTCCAAACGTTTTTGAGTGAAATTTTAGTTATATTTTTCTGATTCCAAATGTCTATGATTAGAATAATAATCTATTCTTGTATTTTTTAATGTTAAGATAAAAAATCAGTATACAGTTTGAATTAAATAAACTTTGTAAATTACTTATTCCAAAATATATATACCAAGTGAACACTATTAACATTTTGGATCAAGCAAGAATACAAATAAATGATCTATTTACATACACATTTCCAAGCATGAAAATTTACTTTTTCACTACACAAAAAAAATTATTAGAATTTAACAAAACGACAAGAATATAATTAAAGATTAAGATTTGATCTATCACAAGCATTATTAGACAAATGTAAAAGCAAAAGTTAGAACTGAAAAATAATAAATAAAAATGGGTCATCTTTTAGATTGAATTTTTTTACTTCAATACGTTGAAGCTTATATTTTCATGTGTCATGTAACATAAAGTATATAAAACATGAATAATAAAACTTTGTGAGTCAAATAATCTAAGATATCGACCAAGTTATTTGAACCATATTGTCTAACATGGATTTCTAAATAGATTAAGATTGTTTTAGGATTTTTAACTGGTCGGTTTTCTATGAACACATGAAGGAAATTTTGTTTTTTGAGATTCACCACAAATTCTATAGCCAAGTGTGTTTTTGCCAGACTTTACTTCCTGCATTTGCTCAAATTTTTCAAATGATCATATGATGACTTTCAGAATATATATATATATATATATATATATATATATATATATATATATATATATATATATATATATATATATATATATCATATATATTTTTAAAAAAACTTTGAAACAACTGTTTTAGAATTTTCGAAGAAGAAATTTCTGAAAATAATTTTAGAATCAAAATTTTTAAAATTAAATTTCAAACACTGTGGAATACATTCCAAATAAAAAATTCAAAATAAATTTATTTAATCTCACAAATTTTTTAATTAGTTCGCTCTTTCAAATCAATTAAAATTTATTCTTAAAAATGTAAATATTTTAAATAAATTTTCCTACAATATATTATTTTCAATTTTATTTGTTTTATACTCATCTATCTATATCTATATATAAAAGGATTTTTCTTGTTGGTGTTCACTTTTGTTTTTCAATTTTACTCTTTAAATAATTTTTTTTTAATTAAAATAATGAGACTCTTGGAGTTGCTTATGAACTCAGAAGGAAAAGAAGGATCCTCAGGCTGATGAAATTTTGTACCTGCAAAAAAATGAGGCTCGTCGAGTTGCTTATGTTGATGAGAAAACCACTGAAAGGGATGAGAAGGAGTATTACTCTGTTCTTGTTAAGTATGGCCAACTGTTGCAGAATGAGGTGGAAATTTACCGAGTAAAGTTGCCTGGGCCCTTGAAGCTTCGGGGAAGGAAAGCCAGAAAATCAAAATCATGCCATAATCTTCACCCGTGGTGATGCAGTCCAGACTATTGATATGAATCAGGACAACTACTTTGAGAAAGCTCTTAAAATGCGAAATCTCTGGGAAGAATACAGGCATTACTATGGTATCCGAAGACCCACTACTTTGGGAGTTAGGGAAAACATTTTTACTGGTTCTGTTTCTTCTCTTGCCTGGTTCATGTCAGCTCAGGAAACAAGTTGTCACCTTAGGCCAGAGGGTTTTGGCAAATCCTTTGAAGGTTAGAATGCATTACGGTCACCCAGATGTATTTGACAGATTTTGGTTCTTGACTCGAGGTGGTATCAGTAAAGCTTCCAGAGTGATCAGCATAAGTGAGGACATCTTTTCTGGATTTAATTGTACTCTTCGTGGAGGGAATGTCACTCACCATGAATACATTCAGGTTGGCAAAGGAAGGGATGTTGGGTTGAATCAAGTATCAATGTTTGAAGCAAGGGTTGCTAGTGGAAATGGGGAGCAAATCCTAAGTAGAGATGTGTACAGATTGGGACATAAGCTGGATTTTTTCCGGATGCTGTCATTCTTCTACACTACTGCGGGGTTCTTCTTTAACACAATGATGGTGATTCTGACACTATATGCATTTTTATGGGGTCGGCTATATCTTGCGCTTAGTGGTGTTGAGAATGCAATGGAAAGTAACAGCAATAACAATGAAGCACTTGGTACCATCTTGAATCAACAGTTCATCATCCAACTTGGACTTTTCACTGCCCTTCCCATGATTGTAGAAAATTCCCTTGAGCATGGGTTCCTTCAAGCCATCTGGGATTTCTTGACAATGCAGCTCCAGCTTTCATCAGTTTTTTACACATTCTCAATGGGCACTCGTAGTCATTTCTTTGGTCGGACTGTTCTGCATGGTGGGATAGAGCATAAACTTGAAGAACTAATTGGGATAGAGCGTAGACTTCAATCAGTTAATAATGTTCGAGTTGTTGGAATCAGTGGGATGGGTGGTATAGGAAAGACTACACTTGCTCGAGCTTTATACGAAAGAATCTATCATCAATATGATTTTCATTGTTTTATTGATGATGTAAGCAAAATATATCGAGATTCAAGTTCATTAGGAGTACAAAAGCAGGTACTTTCTCAGTCTCTAAATGAGAAAAATCTAGAGATTTCAAATTCTTATGAGGGAACATGTTTGATATGGTCTAGGCTGCACAATGTTAGGGCACTTGTAGTTCTGGACAATGTTGATGAAGTTGAACAACTAAGGATGTTTACAGGGAAAAGAGACACTTTGTTGCGTGAATGCTTAGGTGGAGGCAGCATAAGCATCGTAGTTTCTAGGGATGAACATATATTGAGGACGCATGGAGTAAATGACATTTATCGAGTCCAACCGTTGAATGGTGAAAATGCCATGCAGCTGTTTTGTAGAAATGCTTTCAAAGTTAATCATATTTTGAGTGATTATGAAAAGTTGGCATGGAATGTACTATCTTATGCTGAGGGCCATCCCTTGGCAATTGAAGTAATTGGGTCATCTTTGTTTGGTCGAAATGTGTCACAATGGGAAAGTGCATTGGCCAGGCTAAAAGAAAAGAAAAGTAAAAATATTATGGATGTTTTGCGTATAAGTTTTGATCAGCTGGATGAAGAAGACAAAGAAATATTTTTGGATATTGCATGTGCCCTATGCCATCATGATGAGGAATATGTGACGGAAGTTCTAAAGTTTCGTGGATTTCATCCTGAATATGGTCTACAAGTTCTGCTTGACAAATCACTAATATCGAAAAGGAGTGGGATTATTGATATGCATCGCTTGTTGAAGGACTTGGGCAGGTATATTGTCAAAGAAGAATCACCTGAGGAACCCCTAAAGAGGAGTAGGTTGTGCGATTACCAAGATTTCTGCAAAGCTATGTCAAACAATCAGGTAAAATTAATAGATTCATTTATAATTTTATGTTGCCATTTTTTTAGAGCATGAAAATCCTTGGAAAAATGTAACAATTTTATTCTTTGTGCGTAGACAACTGAAATTGTTGAAGCCATCATAGCTGTTAATTCACATGGGAGTTCTAAAACTGTGAGGGTAGATGGTCTATCAAAAATTAGACACCTTAAGTTTCTTAGACTTGGGAAAATGAACTGTTCAGGATGTCTCAGTCATCTTTCAAGTGAACTAGGATATCTTACTTGGTACAATTATCCTTTTGAGTGTTTGCCTCAAAGTTTTCAGCCACACAAACTAGTTGAGTTAATATTGAGAGGAAGCAGTATTCAACGAGTATGGAGTGACACAAAGGTGATGTATATTAAATTTATATTTCTAAGAAATAAATTAAAGAAAATCTAAGTTTCATTATTAAGTGGGTTCTTGTTTTTGCCAATCATTGTAGGTGCTACCTAATTTGAAGCGTTTGGATCTCTCTTACTCCAGAAAATTAGTTGAGATGCCAGATGTTGCAGAGGCCCTAAATCTTGAAGGGATAATTCTTGAAGAATGCATAGAGCTCCGAAAACTCAGTCCATCGATTGGTTTCCTGAGCAAGCTTACTATTTTGAGTTTGAGAAACTGTAAGAACTTAGTAAGCTTACCCAATAGCATATTGGGCCTGAATTCTCTTGAATATTTGGGTGTCTATGGTTGTTCAAAACTGTTTAAAAATGAGTTATTAGATGAAGCAAGGAACACAAAGCATTTGAAGAAGCGTTGTTTAGTTGAAGGTCCTATTCATTCCCACTCAAAATCCCATTTAATAAAAAAAATGCTTTTGTGGCCTTTAGGTTTGTTGTATTCCAGAGCACAAAGAGAGTCAGTTAGTTGTTTGTTACCTTCCTCTCCCACTCTCCCATGTTTGCGTGTACTCGATCTAAGATTCTGCAACTTAGTTAAAATCCCTGATGCCATTGGAAAGTTAAGTTGTTTAGAAAAGTTAAATTTGAAGGGAAACAATTTTGTTACATTGCCTAACCTCAAGGACCTTTTTAGACTGTATTATTTAAACTTACATAATTGCAGGCGATTGAAATACTTGCCTGACCTCCCTTCACGAACTCACTTGCCCTTAAATCTTTACTCGTATCCGATACAATATTTTGCATCCTTCCGCGATCGTATAATAGAGGACTATAAAGATATGACAGGATTAATGATGTTCAACTGCCCAAAAATAGTTGAGAGGGAACGGTGCACTAGCATGACTGTTTCATGGATGCTACAAATTCTTCAGGTGTGCATGTTTCTTCCTTACACTTTCCTTCTTTTAATCTCTTTTGGATTTGGAAAAAAACTACTAACGCATAACATAACTCAGTCGTGGTACAACTCAGAATGTTTCATCCCAAGTATTGGAAGTATTATCCCTGGAAGTGAAATACCAATGTGGTTCAACAATCAGGTTGTGAGCATGGACAATTCAATAATCATAGATGTCCCTCCTTTTGTGCATGACAATAATTGGGTTGGTGTCGTGTGCTGTGTATTATTCAGTGAAAATTTTTCAAGTAATACTGTGTACAACGCAGATCATATGTGGCTATTTTATTACTCTCGTCAACAATTCCGCCGTAAACAAGGCGGCAAACTTGATATACGTAACTTGAGATTGACATTTACATTAGAGGACGTGAAAATACTTTGTATAGATAGCTACCTGGACCTTGCTAATTTTGAAGTGAAAAAATACGGCTATCGATTGGTAAATAAGCAAGATCTGCAGTGATTCATGGTTGAGATTTGGCAGCAAGTTTTAAGCAATACCTTTAGAAGACAGAAAATTGTTATTGTAAAATTCAGTTGTTTTAAAAGTAAGGTGAGAGGAAATGCTCATTGTCTTTCCTTACAAGACAGTCCATTTCATTTCTCATATTTTATTTTTTTAGTTTCTCTTCACATCAACTCAAGCTCTACAAATTTTGAATGTTATTTTTTATGGAATCCTTGTATTTCTTTTTTCTACTTTCTAGTCTTACAATGCATTTCAGTTTTTGTTCCAGAAAGCTATTCCCCTGTGCTACAATATTATGAAGGGGAATTACTAATTTTAAAGATTTCAAGATCAACTCTTAGATTTAAATGATTAGGTTAAAGGAGGCTGAATTGAAATTTCTAAATATTTTCGCAAAACTTAGAATTATATTTTAATTAAACCAGTTCACTACAGGATTTGGTTTTGATTAGGGTTGGGCATAGTTAACTAAACTATAGTTAACTATATTTTTAATAAATCAAAAAAATTAAACTACTTATAATAATATTTAACTGTACTGTTTAAGAGTTCACTTTTGAAAAACTGAACTTATATCAATTAACTACTCACTCAACTGGATTTTGTATTCAAAAGTTAAGCCTATTATTAACTACGACAGTAAATAAAATATATAATGATAAACTCTTGAACCGTGAAATCAAAGAAAATTGAGAAGATGACAGTGTTCCAGTCAATATCTATGTTTCCTTAATTTTTGTTTAGATACAAAATAAGGAATATATACAATTTATTAAAAGGTAATTTTTATTTAAAATAATAATATAAAAACTTTAAAATAAAGTATAAAACAAAGTTTACAGTTATCTTACCTGTATTAGTTGACAAAAATATTGATTAATTAAATTATACATCAAAACATAATTAAATTATCTTAATTTAACTTTTATTTTAATTATATTAATTGATACTTTTTATTTTAATCTTAAAATAAAAATAATTAAGGATCATATTTATGAGATGAGCAACTTGGGTGAGATAACATGCTGTCAACTTTGACATTTGCTAGCTATTTTACTGATAACTTTTCCCACCGACCTCCAAATGATGTGATTCTTTTTTTATGAGAAACTAGACTCAAAAATCTTTCAAATGACTACTAATTTGTAATTTTTGGACATCTGAGTTGGTACAGTTTATTCTTTCAAGTTAGCGTTTCATATATTCTTGCCAACTCTAACCTTTGCTTGTTCTTTTGCTCATAACTTTCTTCACCGAACTCCAAATGAGTTGATTCTTGTTTTGTTGGAATCTAGACTCAAAGACCTTTCAAATTATGCCTTGGAAATCAAGTTTACACCTTTTTTGACACTGTAATCGATTACAAGGACACTCTAGACGATTACACGAACAAAATCCAAGATTTGTACAGAAACTTGTACTGGAGGAGTCAGCTGTGGTAACCTAGGTGACCATAGTCAAAATTTTTAATTTTTTGGCATAAATCCATTGGTTTTCACTTGATTTTAGTGTTTAAGTGTGAGTAGAGGCTG